GTACAAAAGGAACCACATAGACCCCAGAAGACCAGTGTTTTCGTGTTTGTGAAAAAGTGAAACAGTCACCAGTGAGCTGCATGGGTGCTTTATTTTTGTAAACTAATCTAGACAAATGGACAGTTAGTTTCCATATTTATTTCACTGGTTCTCTCCCTCCTGGAATATATCTACACCGTATCTATGTGCACGTCTTGAGTCCTTGTGGTAACTCCCTTCTGCTTTGACTGCTTGCCTGTGTCTCTTCAAAGCAGTTTATTTTTAAATTTAGCTGTGGTCACTGCCTTTTGTCTCTCAGCCTCCAACTACGCCCTGCTTTGGCTACAATCTTTAATACACCTGTTCTAATGGCTTAAAATAAGGAAGGAAAAGTTCCCGTGGGAGGCAATCTCAAATGGGTGTCTGCTTTTCATCTTTGCCTCCAGCGAGGCACTTAGTATGATATATGGGACAAAGACCTAAGGCCCAAGCTTCCTGGGTTCAAATCCTGACTCTTTCTCATGGCAAGTAATGCCAACTTGTTAAGTCCATCAGCTTCACCAAGCCCAGTTCACTGGCACATGAGGGTAAACTTCGCATTTTCAGAGCACTGCAAGGAACGAATGGATAATCCTTCTCAATCCTCCTATTTGCAGGAAGTATCAGATAAGTATTTGCTGTGGTGGTGGTGGTCTCAGAAAGTGAGTCAGGGGTAGGCATGAGTTCATGATCATAGCTTCCATGAGAACTGTCGCAGAATCATGAATGATTTGGGTGGACGACTTTTCCCAATTCCTTCTGGACTATGGAAGGAAATTTTCTTTGGTTTGACTCCTTCTTAGTTGCGCTCCAGTTCGGCACTTCTGGCAAAAAAAAAGCAATTGGTTTTACTAAGATTAGGCTCTGAATCTGGGATTAAAATTTGTTGACAATCCAGACATTGAAAACTATTATATTGATAAAGAGAAAATGTATCACTATCCTCCCCACCCCCCAACTTGACAACTAGGCCCAGTGCAAGGTGTATTTCTTGCATCAGTAAATCTAAGTGGATAACTTGTGTTAAACTTTCCTCCTTTTTATTTTTATCAGTTGGATGTGCACAGAGCTTAAAGAGGCCACCAGCTCTAGAAGGCTTATTAATGGAAAACAGCCATCTTCCAGTTCACCAATTCTCCAAACATCTGAGGCAACAACCCTCCACTAGTTTGCCTGATCTTGATATTTGCTCAGTATCTCTGAGTCACCTACTTAGATGGCAGCAATTTGATTTTTCAAGTGTTCTCCATTGACTTCACTGTATAGCAAAAGGGGGCTGGGTCTCTTTTAACCCCACTCACCCCGCTACCCAGCCTCCATCCTCCCCATAAAGCTATATCGTAAGCTTGGTTAGACAATAGTCTGCTTAGTTAATTGTGACTATGGGGCCACTCCTCCTAGCTGAGCCATTAATACATCATGACTCATATTATTTGGGGCACAGTTCTGTATTCCTTGTGGTTTATAGTTGTCTTTGTTGTCTTTGTGTTATTTGTTTGCTTAGTTTCCTATGTTGTGTTCCCAGAGCTCTCTAATCTTCTCTTTGTTGGTTCAAAATTATCAGTTGTTCCATCAATTTTGTCCTTGTAGCATCATTTTTTCTGGAGTCTACTGAGTCACTCCAGTCTAGCTAGGTCACCCTCCAAACCTGCTGCAAGAGTTTCATTTCAGAATTTTATATTACCTTCCTTCTAGAATCTTCCTTCACCATCATTCTGGAAATTTCCTTGAATTATCATTAGAGATTCTTGCTGCTTAATAAAATGGTTCATTGTATCACCAGTTTATGTAACAATTGCTTTTATTGTCTTATTTTGGTGGAGTACATCCTTATAGTCGCTTTTTCAGAAAGGATCCATAGGAGGTAAACTTTTTGCAACAACTAAACTTTTATGTTTTTTTAACTTCTAATTAATGATTTGGCTGAGCATAGACTTCCAGGTTGAAATAATTTTCCTCCCTAATTTTGGCATGACTTCATTTTCTACTAGCTTCTCATGTCATTGTTGAGAAACAAAATGTCTTTCTGGTTCTGATGCTTTGTGTATCAACCTGTTTTACCTTCTCTGGCATTTTTAAGGCCTGTTCTTTGCTCCAGTATTCTGAAAACTTATGATTGTGTGTCTTGATGTACATCTTTTTGTTGTTATTGTTCATTGTGCACCTATTGAGGGACACTCAGGGGACCCTTTCCTTCTGAAAATGCATGTCTTAACTTTTGGGAATTGCTCTCAAATTATTTATTTGATTGTTTCCTCCCATGTTTTCTCTATTTTGGGGAACTTCCATCCTTCAAATGCTGGATCGCTTGTTTTCTGTTGAGGGATAGGCAGTAAGCTTGAAGTGAGGGAGGAGGTTTGGAGATTAAATTCCTAAACAACCTTTTAATTGTCCTGAACTCAAGCCTGTCTTTACCCCCACTTCTAGAACTCTCCCCACTGCCAGCTGAATGACCAATTATTCTGCTTTCCTCCTTCCAGTTTTTTCTTACTCTGATCCATTCTTATGAATATAAAACCTTGCGGTTTTATGTCTTATTTTTAAAAATCCCTTTACTATTATCTTGTTATAATATAACAAGAAAGAGTAAAGGTAATGGTATGTGCTCAATCTGTCATCGTGAACTAAAAGCCCAAGTGACTTGTTAATAAATTCAGAATTGATATTTGCCACATGTTTTAAGTCCATTTGCCTGATTACCATAAATTGAATAAATATTCACAACCTTTTGTGACCTGCTGGAAAGTGAACAATTTCATCCAATTTAAACTATAGATGGTGAGTAATGACCATAGGTTTTAACAGTTTACAATACTGGGAGAGAATGATAAAAGGATAAAGCATACTTTGTATTTGTTCTGGAGTGATTTTTGTGGTGTGGGTCCTCTACTTGACAGCCCTGTCATGTGTAACTTAGATCTGCAAATGCCACACCTAATAAGGCAAAATTAGCTACAGAATGTACCTAAGTGTCCACATAAAAAGTGGAAGAATGCCTTCATGGAGAGGGACTGGCCTCATCCATCATTTATGGTTCTATTTAAGTCACACCTCTTATGTTGTTTCAATCCAGAAGGCCGTCTCTGGCTTTACTTTGCCTGATCTTGCTTTACAGACTGGCACAGGGGTGAGGGAGAGAAGAGGGTTGGAAGGTCACACTGTCCCTGGGATCCCTTTTCCTATTGTCTTCGGTGTAACACATGCCCATTGTGGGCTCAGCTGAGCATGTTGACAGTTGCTGTGTCCAGTTGCTGTGTCCAGTTAGTAAGCCAAGGGCAAAGACAGCCAGACAAACATCCTATAGTCATGGGGTAGCTGATACTCTTCTAGGGAATGGGGAGGGACTTGCACATGACAACCCAGGAACCGCCTTCCAACGTGGCACTATGGACTCTTCTCAGACTTCTCTGTCTGCCAAAATGGACCTATTCTGTGAAAAGAGATAAAATACTAGGCATCCTTCAAGAAGAGACTATAAAGGATTACCAGGGAAAAATGACTCTTCCTCTAGCACAGCAGTCTCAACCTGGCTTCCCTCCCCTCGTCACCATGCCCAGCCCTGGCTCCTCTGTTCTCCTTGCTGCTCTGGTGGCCCCCTTCTCCTGCAGGCCCAGGCTGCCTTGGCCTCTAGCAGTGTGCCCGTAGTCAACAGAGGTTAGGGACGTCTCCTCTCCTACATGCCAAGAATAACACTTTCTCCAGATCAGGATGCAAATCAATCTTTTAAGAATCTGATTGAACCCGGAGTCAAATGCCAACAAGGCCAAGTGTATAATAGAGATGAGGTAAGAGGGCTAGGTGGAGACTGGCTTGTCCTTGCCCCTGCACAGGCTGCTCACCCCATGCAGGAGGGAGGATGACCCGCAGCAGATGCTGGCGTCACTGACCAAGGCAAGGGCTGAGATTACTCTCTTCCATGCCCTCGAGGTGAGAAATGCCAAGGCAGGCCTGTCCCTGGGAGACATGAGACTCCTCTGAAGGGCAACTTTACATCAAGGGTCTCTCTGGGTCTTACTGCCCCTTCTTCAGACTGCCTGGCATCTGGGGCGGTTCACCCAACCTTCCCTCTCACCTTCACACGGGTCTCACTTGCATCCCGGTTGCCCAGTTCCCCTGGCCCCTCTCCATTTTCTATCACCTGTCTTTTTCTCCCCTCATAAAATTGTTGCAGGCTTAATTCCACCTTGCCATTTGCCTCTCAAAAGATCTAGACTAATAAGCATAAAGACTTTTAACAAATTCCTATTGACCAGCAGATTGATTGGGTCTGGGACAGGAGGCATCAGGGGGATCCCCCAATAAAATGGAATTATCTTTTGGAGGGCAGGCTCCTTGAAGTACAGGCTTCCCCTGATAGGTAAGTTTTCTAGGAACCCATCGGCTTCAGTGGACCAGCTAGTGTTGTTAAGAGAGACTGTTTGGCTTCAGTGAATTGTTTGTTTGTTTGTTTGTTTTTTGGTGGGGAGATTCTTTCGATGCACTTCCCCTTTTCACGATGGGCGATTTACAAGCTCACCTGCCCATACCTCACTAAGTGTTCAGCAATTTTTAACCAAAAACACATGACCCCCATGCCCCATCCTCCCTATTCACCCGATTTACCCAAGCAGCTTTTTTTTGTTTCCCCAATGAAAAAAAGTCCTCAAAGGGAAATGTTTGCCAATGTGGAAGAGGCGAAATGAAAAACAACAGAAGCACTAAAAAGCGTCAACACTGACAAGTTCAAAAACTGTTATGAGCAGTGGAAAAAGCACCTTGATAGGTATATTGCATCAAACGGAGAGTACATTGAAGGTGACTCAAATTTAAACATGTAAGAATAAATACACAATTTTTAAAAAATAAATTCTGGGTTTTGGGGGCACCCCCTCATAGATATGACGCTGTGTTTCTGGCTTGCCCCTGGCCAGAGCTGGCAGCTTCCCGCTGTCTTATTTGCATAGTCTGGTATTCTTGTTGACTTTGTCTCCCTTTTCCTATAGGTTGTGGCTCTCTCCTCCTGGTGCCTCCTGAGGGATTCGATTTACTATACACTGTCTGTGATCGCACTCATCGTGGTAAGTTGCTCTGTCATTTCAGTCCCCCTCAGTGTTCTTCTCAGCACCAGAGCAAAGTGTGGCTCCTCCACGTGGAATTCACTGAAGAACGCTGGTGGTGACTGAGTCAGTCCATGCCTTCCATCTGCTTTGATCACCCAGAACCCCACCCTGATTGATAGGTACTCAGAACAGGAGTTTTTACTTGGCTTGTCTATTAATAGGTCCGTGACAGTTTGCAGCTGTTCTCCTGTGACCCTTCTGACCCTGCCTCTCAGTCACTCACCCCATCAGCTTCCCTAGCTTTGGACCTTACATCTCTCCCCTTCTCACTCTGTGTTCTCCCAGGACACTCCCTGCCCCCCTCCCCACAGTGCCCATAACCATGACCACCTCTGTGGTCCCCCACACCTGTATTCTTGGAAGTGACATCTCCCTGCAGTCCAGTTGTGGCTTGCCACCTCCCCAACCAGGTTAATTTTGCATCAACTTGACTGGGCTAAGGGATGCCCAGATGGCTGGTGAAACATTATTTCTGGGTGTGTTTTGTGAAAGTGTTTTTCAAAAGAGGTTAACATTTAAATTCTTAGAAATAATGAAAGGAGGTCACCCTCACCAATGTGGGTGAACATCATTCAATTCCTTGAGGGCCTGAATAGAACAACAAAGCAGAGGAAGGGTGAATGTTATCTTTCTGCTTGAGATGGGCCATTCATCTTCTCCTGCCTCAGACATTAATACTCTTGACTCTTGGGCATTTGGACTCATATTGAGGTTTATACCATGGCTCTCCTAGGTCTCAGGTCTTTGGGCTTGGATTGGAAATACACCACTGCCTTTGTAGATGGAAGATCATGGGACTTCTTAGCCTTCACAATGGTGTGAGCCAATCCTTCCTAACAGATCTCTTTATTTATCTCCTATTGGTTCTTGGAAGAACCCTGACTAATATACCCTCTCACTAGCACTCATGAGTTTGGAGAAGTTCATCTTTCTGAGTCTGTTTTACACCTATTTTACAAAGCACTTCCCTGCAGATAATCATATTCTTAATCTCTATGCAAATAAAATGAACATGATGTTTTATATGAGACTTTTCACTAGGAACCAGACAGGTTCTTCAGTGACTAGCAGTTCCTGACACTGAAAATCTTGGGTTTACAAACCATTACAAGGCTCTCTAGGAGGTCAGCGTTGCCCTAAGCATTGTTCTCAACCTTGGCCTCCAGAATTCTCAGATTAAAACAGGAAGAGCCCTAGACCTAATGTATTCCCCTACATAATTGGGAGGGTCAAGACCCAGTCACAGAACAGAAGGACTCAGAGTGCCATGTTGAAACTGAAGGTGTGATTCACCTTTAAACTTCTGACTGGTGAATGTGAGGAATACACGTGAACTGTATAGTCTTCTTCTCAGTCATTACCTATGCAAAAGCTATGTTCACCTGAAACCTGAGGACTATTCCATTGACCTCATTCCAGACTCCTCAAAGACTCTTCCAGTGTGCTCTGCCCCTGGATGGACAAACCCACTCTGATTATGTGCACTCTGCTCTTCTGCTGTTAGGGAATGTTAGGATGATTTCAGAAAACTAATTTTTTCAAGAGACATGGTTAGTTGTGTACAGGAATACCACTACCTGCTTTGCTGAATTCCAGGAAGAGATAATTCTTCTCATAGAGACGAGGTGACAGGACAGGACAGGACAGAGCAACTCAGATCTCCCAGGAGCACAGACGCACGCCACCCCCAGTGGCAATGCTGCCAACATCCGCTTCTTTCCCTGTTTTCTGATTTCCTGGTCTATGTGTGAAATAACTTGTCTTCTGTTCAATTTATCTGGACATGTCCAAGATAAAATGAATGTAATTGTTGCTAATGATGTGTGAAGAAGTAGAGCGGTTTTGCATCTTCAGGCTGTGGGTGACATACTCCCCAGAGCCTGGTCTTTGGGTAAAGTGGCCATCTGTCCTCTGGCTGCAGCTTAGAAATTACAGGGCTGGGCCTGCTGGACATACAGGTGGCTGGGTAGCACTGGAGTCCCTGCAGACAGCAGCACACTGCCAAAACAAAGGATTCTTTGTTGTCATCTGAAGATCTGGACAGTGTGTTTCCTGACCAGTTGCCAAGTCTATTTTTGTGATTTAAGAGAACTTACATTTCTTCACTGTTAATAAGAATAAGATTGTGTCCTCAGGGGGTCTCGGTTCTTTTTACTTTAGCTGGTGTTCCTCCAACTTAAGTGTGCATTGCAAATACCTGGTGTGCTTATTTAAATGCGGAACCCAGAGTCTGTAGTTCCATGGGCTCTGTGGTAGAACCCAGGAAGTTGTATTTCTCCCAACCCCAGGTGATTCTGATGGCAGTAGCATCACAGTGCATTTTGAGACACACAGCTTTTTATGAGTTGAGGGTCTCTATCACCCAGGCTGGAATGCAGTAGCATGATCATGACTCACAGTAGCCTTGACCTCCATGGCTCAGGTAATCCTCCCGCCCCACATCCTGAGTACCTGGGACTACAGGTGTGTGCTACCATGTCTGGCTAATATTTTTATTTTTTGAATAGACGTAGTCTTGCTGTCTTGCCCAGGCTAGTCTTGAACTCCTGGGCTCAAGCAGAGTCCTTCCACCTTGTCTCCCAAAGTGCTGGGATTACAGTCATGAGCCATCATGCCTGGCAAAAAACACAACTTTAAATGTGGTCAGAAACCATTTCTTCAGGGTGTTCATCTGTTGCATAGAAATGACCATTTCTAGAGTCAATTTTGAGATTCCCAAAGGAAAGGAATCATAGCAGCCTAAGTAACTTTAGTTTGTCTGGATTTCTGGCTACTATTTGTCTCGGTGGACTGTTGACTCTTGTTAAACAATGTCCACGCTCCCAGAGTCTGGGGGTTTTACATGAGACTTAAAACCATCATAAAACACCAGGCATAATCTCATCCCTAAAAGCTCTGTACTTCGCAAAGTCACTCTCACTGCGTCCAACCTCAGGATGTGGCTAACACACCCTCTGTGTCTCCTCACCAAGGTTTCTTATTCTCCTCTGCCTCTGTTTCCCCTAATATTGTGCTAACAGAATGCGTTTTCTTCCATTTTTTCTTCAGTAGTGCTAAACTTCTCCATAAGACTCTGTAATGGCCCCTTGAATTTCCTTTATTTAAAAGCCCTTCCTCCGACTCACAAAATAATGACCAACTTTTCCAAACATTCTAGTCAACTATTTGGGATTTTTAAAAAGCGCTCTCCCCTAGTAGTAGTTCTGAAATGTTTGGAAAGCGTAGCTGTCCACTGTTCATCTCCGAGGGTGTGTGGCTAAGGCTCAACCACCCCAAGGTTACGTCTGGTTAAGTGGGACCAGATGCCATTTCTACATACATCTCCATCAAGAGACCCTTCAGACCCATGCGGGAGAGCCTGAGGATGAACCCTGGGGCCTGGCGACCCAGGGAGAGGAGAGATACCTTCTCCAGAGACAAGGGCTGATGGCTGCTGAGGGCAGAGGTTCAGAGTTGAGCCAGAAAGGAGCCAATAGCATCCTCATTACCTGGACTCAAAATAGCTGAAGTGTCAGCCAAGTAGGTGGGGCAGGAACGGGGATAAGCGAGAACACAGGCGCAAGACCATTGAGCCAGCTGAAGCCAGCAGAACTGAGCAGTCCGCATGCGTGCAGGCACAGAGGGCAATCCTCTTTGCGGGTTTCACCTAAACTTTGCTCTGTGCTATTTTCTAGTTTGCTGATTGTTTTCAGGAGAAAGCAAAATGCATGAATGTAGTCATTGTCTAAAGCAATTGTAACTTCAAAACACAGTGTGTATGTTTCCCAGGGCC